CCCAGTAACCGACTAATGAGCTAAATAAATCCCAATTTGCGATGGCTCTAAGACTTTATTTTTTGAATTTAGTGGTTTTTTCTCCTCTACTGAGGAATGGAATCTTCTATAAAGGAGGTGATGGTCTGGTCCCGTGCAGAGTTTGGGGCAGTAGCGATATCCGTTAGGCAAGACCTTCAACTTACTATGAAAAGAGTAGTAAGTTGTAGTAAATACGACCATACGTAAATAAATAATAAATGGTTCCTATATTTCATCCACATTGTATGTAAGAGCCGCTATAGGTCGTCATGCAAAGATTAGTATGAATAAAATGGTAGTGAAAATCGCTAATAGGCAAACATACTATCTCTGCTTAGCAGACGATACCGTCCCCATAATAACATTATTCAGGTATTAGTCAGGCGTAATGAATGCTGGTCGACTTCGACGACGCTTATGAAAAGATTAGTCGTCGACTAATTCTCACGAAAACGGTGTAAAAATGGCAGAGAAGTGGTACTAACGTTAGTTCAGTACGAGCAAGCCAATGGTAAGACTCTGACCAGGGCTCAACAAGCACTTCATCCATTTGAGCATGGAAGCTTGATTCTAGACTCGTCCGGGATCACCGGGATCCCTCCAATGGAAGTTGGCGCCTACCCATGGTGAAGACCTGAAAATGTCGTAAAACGGCTACCCACAATTCCAGGGAGAATCGACTTGACTAGGGTTCAAAGAACCTTCAAAGACATTCATTAAGAAAAGCGACTTCCTCAGGCAGCAGCAAAATCCACAGACAAATCAGAAGACTTTTGTGGATTGCGGATGAGAGAAAATGAATCGAATGGAAAAGGTGCTGGGGTCCCCAAAATAGGTGGTGTCAGGCCGTGCAAAACAAAAAAAGTGTTAGAGTACAACTAAAAATAGTAAGCGTGAATTCGACTCGAACCGACTTGGACGACTCAAATAGCTAGGAATAAAGGCTGTGGACATGTTGGATAACGCAAAGAAAAATAACTATGCATGTGTACCCTTAACGAAACAGCGCGAAGTTTTTCTACAAGTCTATGAAGTACACATTTTCCTAAGTATTTATCGTTGGATTACCGGTAGTTGTAGAAAAAGGCTGTATGGAATGTGTCAAAAAACATTTTATTCATTTGTTATTGTTTTATTTTACACGACCCGACAAGATAGGTGGTGCTCATTCCAGTACTTTTTGGATTCGACTGACTTCCTCGCATGGGTCCTTCACGAAAGTTTTCGTATTTGTGGATTCGACTACGCTTTGACGATTTTCGTCTCTTCATCTTCTTCTTCTATGGATGCCTACAGCATCCTTGCAAGGACGTTCCAAGTCGTTTCCACTCGGCTTTCTAGAGCCAGCTAGGTTTCAAAATTGTGGTAATTCCTGGCCTGATTCACTCTTGATAGGACTTCCGAACAGAAACACCGGATTCATCCCCAGGTTACAACACTCTGCCTGAAGACTATGTAGTGACAGCTGCAATCGTTACACCAACATTGTAGTGACTAATTTTCTATTGCTCGAAGTCTATTGCTGTCCGGTTTGTGCTAGCTAACCTAATACCTGCATGGTGGATTATCCATTGAAAAACAACCATTATAAACGGATAGTCACGTCAACAGCAATCACGCAGTATAAAAGAGCGCTACTGAGTGAGCATGGCTCATTCGTGCGGTGTTCACTGAAGAAGGTCTCGTCTCGGTTCGAAAACGAAGACGCCACATTGAGAAGGCGAGCAGATCTGGACCACCGACTTGGATCATCGGCTCTGATGAGGACGAAGGTGTCGAAACATTAGCCGAAGTAAATCTATTAATCAACCTCGTGTAAGCCCAACAATTTAAATACATTGCAGTGACCGTTGCGCCACACACCATTTCGTAGTAGCTCAGTGATGGAATAATCAGTTGAACTGAATAACAAATAAACCACAATCTTGTCGCTTTTTATTTACTGCTTCACTTTTTTTTTAATGGTAGGATATTACGTGAAATATAAACAGAGTGATGATGAGATATTTGCAGAACTCCGGACCGCAGGTGTCTGCGGTGAGGACCGAACACGCTATTACCCTTTCCAGAGGCTAACGCGTTCACCACCACAGCATGCGAGGACTCGTAGCGTTAGTCCCGGAAAGGGTAATAGCGTGTTTGGTCCCACCGCTGACACCAGCGGTCGGGAGTTTTGCAAATATCGCAGCATCACTATGAATAACAGATAGTGTAGAGGCTAACTAGTTAGTCAATCGTTGCCACTTTTCAGCTCGACTTTTGAAGGTGGATGTGTGTCGTGATCTCTATAGGTTGACCACACAATACCTTGCGGCTCCATACCAAAAAGCAGCGCCGGGTGAGGTGACAAACCACTTTCGGGAATCAAGCAGTAGATTATATGGCCAGGTGAAGAAGTACGATTGTTCATCTATAGTTAAATAACTTGATTTCATGGTGATTAATTACGTAAGAAACTAAAACCAAAAACTACAATACTACAGAACTATGTCTGGGCGCATGTGGCGCAGTGGTCGGAGGCACCATGTAACACACACGTGGAATCGATCCTCGTGCTCATGGCCCACCAAGCCTTCCATCTCTACTGGGTCGACAAATTCGTACCAGACTTGCCTGGGAGAACAGCTGCACAGGCTCGATACATCGGTAGGTCACTATACTGTAAAGGCCAAATATGCATTCATTCGCTTAATGAAGTAGAATGCATGGAGCATCCCCTCAGGGACTGATCAACGCCGAGTGTTGAGTTCTGACTCAGCAGTTGCACGACAACGACAACCAACATAAGTTTACACAAATATTTATAATCCGTACTTTCACGGTGACCTCATTTCTTACAATTTTGGAGATGAGGAGGCACAACACACTGTCAGTGATGCATCCGATTTTACAATGAAGTTCCTGGCACAAGTAGAGCTTAGTACTTAAGGGTCCATCTTAATATTTGTACCGGATCAATCATTTCCTGCATTAGTCCTTTATCTTACAACCGCAATTCATGAAGATGGGGTCGGATTCGTCAGGATCGATGATCTGCTGACTGACGTGAGGATCTGCTGAGTGATGATTGAGAGTGATAATTTTCCGTGGAATCCCAAAACAGCCGTGTCAAAGTGTTCTGACGTCTTCACCAGAGACAGTCGATGTGGTGATGTTATTGCATTGCAGCTAGGATTGATCCGGAGCGCACCGATACCTTCGATTACTCAATCGGTCGAATCGATGAAAGAGACAATGTGAGGGACCGGAACCAATGGATCTATAGAAAGGAGTAGAATGGCTAGTATTAAACTAAAGGTTTAACTTAAATCTCGAGTTAAAGTGGTATTGATTAAAACAGCGTATGCTTAGACAACCTTGTTCGTGGAGACAATAAAAATCTTGAAGGACCGACTATCCTTTAACCTCGGCATGATTAATTAGCGTGTGTTTTCTTCCAGTGGTAGGCTAACACTAGGTTAATAGAAACGCTTTCTTCGGCTAAAATTCCGGCGCCTTCGCCTTCCTCAAAGCCGTATAAATCCGAGTCGATTCTCCGCAGTTATTCTTTCATCCGATTTGGATTCTTGTGATCGCATGGACTCGAATCCAGTGGATTCGGTCCTAGTTAAATTAAGACAAAATCTTCCTCCAACACCGTAGTAGCTAATCAATGGAAAAATACATATTCATACATACATTAGACCGTGAAGTTCTGAATAATCCGCAGTGCTTGTTGGAAGTACTGTTGTGGGATGTCGCTACCAGTGACCCGCAAACGCGCTCCAATGTATATTTTGCGCTCGTGAGCGCAAAAATATGAAATTCGCCCTTCCTCAGTTAGAAGACCTCTTTTTGCAACTGTTGATGGTGGCGTTTGTGTTTGTTTATTTACCTCATTTAGATTGACACGACAGCAATTTTCTGAAAGAATCCTCGTTTTTCGTTTTCGACTTCCCATATGCAAGCCATCGACCAGAGATCCCATCCTGAGCGACATCCACTAGGTCTAAAGTTCGCTTTTGAGTTGAGAGCTTTTTACTGTGATTATCAGAGATACCTGCTTGAAAGTTGCTTATGATTGATTGTCTCTTTTTGGTCAATATCTTCAAGTAGATTTGCAAGGTGCACTTATTTTGTTTATCCAGCCTACTCAAACGTCAAGGGAGTGTGTAGCGTAGTGATCGGAGGCGCACCGCAACACATGGGAGCGATCTCAGCGCCCCAGGCCCACTAAGGCCTCCATCTCTCCAACCTCAGCAATTTGGTATCAGACCTGTCTGGGAAAATAGCAGCATTGGCTCGATACATCGGCAGGCCATCGCTAGTCATGGCAAAGCTCAGATATGCATGTAATCAATTCCGAAGATGCTTAATGAAGTCAAATGCATGGCGCATCCCTTAGGGATTAATTAACGCCGAGAGCTTTATCCTTTATCCTCTTTATTCAACCGTCGATGTTTTGATGAATCACGGGACCTTCTGAGTTAAAAGGCTTCTCTCCACATAAGGACTTCTGAGTGTATGATCCTCGTACATCTGGTTAGTTTCCACTCTAAGCCTGGTTTTGGTTAGTTTTTCCACATACTTCCTTCGCTAGTTCTCTAATGTTTTATGCTGAGATGTTGATTTACCAATCCATGAGTTGTCATGTCCTTCTTGTAATGACAGTCACTTGTTAATATAGCACTTATTTCACTATAGATAATTTTTCGAATTTTCACGTAGTCGATTGATTTTGCCCCCTTCAAGTTCGTTATTGTTTCCTGCACTTTTCTGGGAAATGAGACCAGCTCTACAAAGTTCTTATAAGCTCTGTAACAAATTGTTTAATGAAAATTTTATCGTTGTTCGACAGTTTTCATAGTTTTGAGGTGCTTTCAGCTATTTCTGCTACAGGTTATCCCATTGGGGTTCCATGTTTCGATATTTGAATTTCCGATTTTAGATTCATCAAAGAAGGGTTTGAATTCCCAGTTTTACGTTCGCCATAGAAGAGAATGGTGCATACCATATTGCTTATTCAGCCTACTATTCGACCAGACTCTCGTACTTGGTCGGACTACGAGTCAACAACGGATTGCCTCGAAGGTAAGTCCGTCGGTCGTCATTCCATCTATTCATTCCCTATCTTTTCCTTGTTGAATAGTTGAGACTTTAGGTATTTGCAAGATATACGAGGAGTTCTTAAAGAAGCAGAATCCGACGATGGCGAGCATAACCTATGATGTTTCGCATTTATACGAATTTATAGATAAGCTTTCCGATCTGAGCTGCCTAATTCTTGACACGGTGAGGTTTCATACTTGCTGAGAGTTTTCCACTGACCAGTTAAAGATTTATATTGTAACGGTCTTCCTTTATGGCTTCTCTTTTCGTGACATTAATGCTGCTTTTGCAGGAGACTTGTCAGTATGTCCCTCACAATAAGGATTGGATCAAGGAGAAGATTTTTATTATGTTGAGAACTCAGGCTAGGAGCGACTGATTGTGTATTTCCTCACTCCGTTTTGTCATTATCTGTATTCTACAAGAAGAAAACGTGTTATTGGAAGTACTGGAGGATTCTAATGTTGTATGTGTATATATATATATCCCGATCTCGAGCGCGCTTAATGTTACCCCAATAAACGTTAATTGCGACTATTGTGGGGAGTAATTTGACACCGTTCGTGGCGTTGATAAATATTCTACAAACAGTAGCTAGTGCTTTGCTTCAAGCAGTGTACTATCTGGTCAACACTTACCACATCTAGTATCCTATCAGCGATTTTTTTCTTTTATCGTTTCTTGTTGCTCGTAGTGTTTGGATACTTACGTGGATGGCCCGCTTTCATTGGTTGTGCGGGACCCAACATAATTTCCATTCTTCCGGAGTTTTGCTGGACTAGCCATTGTGGTTCCCTGAAGTTCTGAGGCGAACTTGGCCAAAGTGTGCTTCAGGTCGTCACCACGACAGGCAGTCGCCGCTCTTGTGGATCAGAAGAAGATTTGCCACCATGCGACTTTGCTACCAGGACAGTGGTGGATACTAGTATTGGTTTACTCTTAGCTAGACTTCCTGACAGGAACACCGGACTCAGCTTGGGAGAGCTTACTGGGGAGATGAATCCACCCGCTTTACATCGCTTCCCGACACCCAGGAACATCTCCTAGCCACGATGAAGCGGTAAACTCTTTGGAGGATCTGAATTAACGGAGTAGATTTTTTCAAAATTTCAGCACTTACCATACATAGTATCCTCTCAGCGGTTTTTTTCTGTTGTGGTCAATTGTTGCTTGTAGTGGCTTGATGGGTAATGTAGAGCATACTGGAAAGGTGGAGACAATCCCAATTGATGATATTTGCAGGTATTAGGATATTGACGTCCAATTCCACGAAATAGGGCTTGTGTAATTGATGTTTCTTACGCGGTAATCTCGATTTATCTAAATATTCCATAGTCGAGAAGTGCAACGAAAAATCCCGTGCTTGTGGAGTCAGCTGGTTAGTTTTGCACACCATCAGAGTGCAGAGTTATTTTAGCAGGTTAATTTAGAACAGTCTTCATTTTGAACATGTTCCACATATGTTGAGTTGCTTTTGAAACGACGTTCATTACACTCCTTCATATGGGAAGATTACACAACATTTCCAAATGTCTCCTAATCTGGCGTGGGCAGAATTGCTTGTTTCAAAGCCGACTTTCCTTTAAGCTTGGTATGGTCAATCAATATATATTCTTTTTTCGATAAGCTTACACAAGATTGACATGTAGTCGTATCTCGTGTACCTCGTAATTACTTGTTAACTTCTTGTAACCTTATCAAAGAAGAAATACATGTTTGCTCATTATTTTGTTATGAAAAACTAGTATTTTTAACAACTTCTAGATAAGGAATAGAACAAAGGAGTTCGAGGAGGTGGTCAGTTCATATATAATAACTAAGGGGAGTAGGAACGCCTTTTGTATCGAATCGCCAACCGATTTTGTCTGAACTTTGTCCAAAGCATCCCTTAAACCAATGAAATTGGGTAATAGTAATAGTGGTATAGTGGTAATTCAACCATTTTTACAATTTTGGGATTATTTTATTTTTTGCTTTATATGAACCGTCTTCACGTCAATTGTGCGAATCGTGACACTTCTCACACTCGGACGTTTCCTCGCACCCATCATTCACGAAGGTCTTCCAACGTGGTATTTTACGTGTGGCCTTGGCTACTTCTTGAGGATTTTCATTTCATTTTGAATTTCGTAGAATGCTGGTCGAGTCGATTCACCCCGGTGTCGTGAGATAGCCGGGCTGGAGCGTTCCCAATTGAACTGCAAAGAGTGATTTTTTTTCCCAGTCAAGTCCGGTACCAATTTCCCGTCACCGGAGTGATGAGAGGTATTATCGGCCCAGAGCGGAATCGAATTAGCACCATGCTCGTGATGATCGACATCGACATCACTACCACTGTGTTATCCGCTCCATAATCTTGTAAACATGTCCTATAACACTGAGTCGTTTTTTAAGCTTTCTGTAAAGTTTACATATTTTTGCCAACGAGGAACAGATTTATGTAAACCGTTTGCCAAAAGTTCTTGACATCTGAATGCAATGAAGTCATTGATGCCAGTTTTGACCTCGGGTTGGTATCTGAAGTGTGAAGCATTTTTGGCACAGGAAGTTGTCGAGATGCTTGAAGAAGTGGTAACTGAGGCGAGAGGTATGGCAACTGTAGTGGATCATATAGGCGTCGTAGTCTAGATCATTCAACTTTTGCGGCGTAGTTAGTGCGAGGAGGAACAACCGCTGACGATTCTGGTGCCATTCCATCTATTTGTAGGACGTACTTCTCCGTTTTGATCGTTTTACATGGATTCAGGAAGTTGTGAAAGATCAGATAAGATCACTAAACAGAGAACATAACCTTTTCATCCAATTTTTTATCTATTTTATTTTACCTAGCCCGTCACCACACCTACTTTGTAGATCTCAGTACTTTCATTCGATTCGCTTTCCTCGCATTCACCGTCCATGAAGGTTTTCGAACATTTCGTATGTTGTTTCGAGTGCTACTTGATAACTTCGTCTTCTTTATGAATGTAGAATGCTGGCCTAGTCCATATTCTCTGCAATTTTGGAGCCAGCCGAACTAAGGCGTTCCGACGTGAATTGGAGAAGAGCGTTGTGGAGGAGGTCGAACCAGTTTAGTTCAATTTTGGCTTTGAAAAGTGCTTCGGAGCTTTATCGCTGTCCAACTATTGAGCCGACCGTCACCGGTAGTCTTAGAGGATCTTCATCGTACATCACAATACGATGAAAAGAGGCGTCTTTCTGGTTGCATAGAAGAAGCGCCGACGTTACCTTATGAGTCCTTTGATTGTAATTGTGATTTGTGATTGTCATTCGATTGATGCGGAATTCGTTTGTCGAGCTTCTTAGGGTTTTCAAATTTTTCAGATTAAGTTCTCGAACAGCTGTACATGTGTTTGTTTATAGGTGTGCAAGAAACTACTCAGTTCATCGTCTTCAGTTCCCGACAGCCGCGACCTTCCACATCTTTAAGGTTGAATTCGCCACGACGAAATTCCCTAAACCAACATTACATTGCACGTTCGTTAACACTACTTTGGCGTAATACCTCATCAATCTTTCGAGCCATTTGCCTCTGTGTAAATCTGAATTCTTAGAAGAAGATTCGTCGACATTGCAATCTTTACAGCTGAAATGCTAAGCCTTAAAATAGGTGAGAAGCACAATTAGTATCTATTTATATGTGCTTACGAACTGTCCTTGTTGAGCCGATGCGAGGTTGGTACAAATTGCTGTTGTTGTCTGATGGCTGACGTTTCGGCGATTTCGCCACCAGAGCCGTGCTGTTCCGAGTGGGACTCTGGAAGCCATTAAACAGCTTAATTTTATTTTAATTTAAATAATTATATCGACTATTTATGCCGAGGTCCATAGAAAGTCGGTCTTTTAAGTTATTAAGAAATGTACCAGAAAATTAGTGTCATAATTCAACTATATCGAGGAAAGTGCCTAGAATGACTTTCGTGATGGTATGTAATAGCACATCATTTGAAGAAAAGGCTATAAATCAGGCATTAATTCCCAAGAAACTTGAAAGTTTTATTGAGATAATGATAGACATTGTTAATCCAGAATGCCAGCCATCACTGCTGGATTTTTCCGGAAAGTGGGTAGGAATTTCATCGATTACTGGCGAACAATTGGAAACGACTATCGGATAGTCGCTAAGGAAACATTTGAGGCATGTGTGAAGAAACCTGCGAAGGCTGGTCAGTTTTTGCCTTGAAGCGATATGTTATTCCGTACTTTCTTCTTAGAAATCGTGTTGTGTAATCCCTATAAAGTGTTAATTTCAGGGATTTATGCCACCGGGATAAGTGGTTTGGTGTACGCATATGTCACAAATCCTTCAGAAGCGAGTATGTTAGATGAGTTGTGTGAGTTGCGTCAGACAATGACAACTCTACCAGCCTCCATTCATAATAAAGAAAGTGGTAAGCTCATCATTCATTTGTCTGATGATTATAAGCAGTAAGGTTTAAGATGTCTTTTCTAGATGCCGAACTTGCAGAGAGGTCCATACTACTGTCTCAAGACCGTTTACATTACTATAACTTATGGTTTTTCTCGTTACTAGTTCGCTCCGAACATGACAGTTCAGTGAGTGGTCTAAAGGTCTTCCTTGCTAACCTTTCTTTTCCAAGCAGGAGTCTGGATATAAATTATTGTGAAACATGGCTCTTGGTGTCGTCAGCCTTTTTTTCCACGGCAAATGTAGTTTTAGCAGACCAGAGCTACCTACTTTTTTTCTTACTGAAGTTCTGTGAAATCAGGCCATAAGTATAGCACTTTTTCCGCTTATAGGTGAAGATATACGAGTCACAGGACAAGAATCTCAAAGATTGGATCTGGAACGAATTCTTCAAAAACATTTACGATGTCGGATTTCAAGGAAGGTGGTATCGACTAAGTCAGAAATTTAAGGATTACGATATTAATCAGGATGAGCTTGCCCATCTCCCAGATTAAGTGATAGTTTAACTCCTAGTTGTTTTGTTTTCTGGTTTTTATTGTCCACTAATTGTTTTGTAGTCCTTTTAGTACCCAGTACGGTGAAAAGGATTTAACATGATATCTCTGTGGTTTTTAGGTCAGTGTTTTATTCTTGAGCAGTTAAAATTTTATCGTAAACAAGGTTTCTTCAATAGTGGCTGACGTTCCGGGAGTTTCGGTTTTCTTTGATTTGTTTAGCTATAACAGTGTCAATTTCAACAGATGCGCTACAAACATATGGGCGTAATATGATACTAAGTGCTTCATCGACTTAAACATGGTCCAGGAAATCAACACGTCGTTGAAACAGCATGCATGACATACATACGGTGAAATTTCAAAGTATCAGTGTCATTTTTACGTAAATGCCATCATTAGTGACGTAGGAAGAAAAGTAATATGAAACTGAAACCGAAAACCAAGAGTGTTGAACCTATACCATCATAATGACAATGAATACGGACCAAACAAATACGGCATATGACCAGTAGTTGGAATGACAGGATGAAAGGCCATGGCGTATCCTCCAGGGACAAGGAATTAAGCAACTCTTTTAGTACGTTCGAGTCCTCAAAGCCAATAAACACGGAATAAGGAGTTTTACTGCACCCCTGTAGTATATTAGTAGTGAAGCATTCTTATTTCATCCATTGAAACGAATAATATAGTGAATTTAGTGCAAACATTGTGATAATCTGTGATCACTAGTCTATTGTTTAGCGCTTAGGGCTCGAAAAGGGCACATGTTGCGCGGTGGTCGAAGGCGCCCTGCAATAAACATGAGGTCGATCCCCGCGCTCCAGACCCACTAAGCCTTGCATCCCTCTGTGGTTGGCAAATTGATACCAGTTGTCTGTGAAGATAGCAGCGCTGGCCTGATACATCGGTAGTCCACCGCGACTCACTGTAAAGGCTATGCATGCATTCAATCACCTCCAACAACGCTTAATGAAGTTGAATGCATGGCGTGTCACTCAGGCATTGATCAAAGCCGAGATCCTCATCCTTTATTCTTAAGGGGGGGGGGGTTGAAGTTGGTTTTTCTTTCGAAAGTTTTTCTGGTAATTTTTCGATAACCGGAAAAATTTGGGAGTTGAAAACGTGATCGACTTGCTGGAGGGACTTCGTTCTATCTATTTGGCGGTAAAGATCCTTCTTTAAAACTGATACTTGCCTTTTAAAATTGTTTGTAACTAAAAATTTGCGAAGTAGACAAATTTAAATTTTTAATGTTCAGACGAAATCAACGCAGTCAGAAACACCAATTACGTAATTTGGAACACCACTGTGCTAGTGGAGGAGACACCGCTTGTTCGATTGCTTCCGTTTTGAAAGCATGAGCCTTGACGAAGAAAAATGCACAAAATATGTTTGTTAAGATCGAGATAATTAGAATTTCATCGTGATAAAGCAAAAAATTCTGTAGGCAAAAATCTTCAGCTTTTAGTATTTTTTATTATCACTAGTAAAGTTTTCTTTAAGCTGAGATGTTGGTTTAAAGTTAAAAGTGGCATTATTTTCTTACCATATGAGTGGAAATCAACTCACATTGGTCTCTAAGTATTAGAAAGTGGTTGTGGAATACAGAAAGTACGAACAAAATCAACAGAAGTGTCTAGGGACATTTTCGTTCTCAACTTCCTCATCTAGATAGCACTTTGTTACAGTACCCAGCAAGAATACATCATCTGTCATTAGGCTAATTGTTGTTGGTAATATAATACTATGATTTTCAATAAAACAACTAGTTTACAAGTGTATTTGGAAGAATCCGAAATAACATGGATCCTTAAGCGAATATGGCGAGCATGTGGTGCTTACCACTCTTCTGTAGACATTTAAAACAAGACGATTGTTAGACCTAACTAACTTGGACGGATTTAAAATAACTTGAAGACTTATACAGTTGTAACAAATGCATCGCCGAAGCCTAGAATCATGCTGGTCTTCGTCTTCTAGAAGCGACTCTTCTTCAGAGAAACCTGAATCGCATCGTTCCCATGAGGGTTGATGTTAGGTAGCGTGCCTATAATATTTGAAAGTCAAGGGAAAAATGGGGACTCACCGAGGACCTGTAGGCGTTATCATATCATAAAATTGGGTAAAGAGTCTTTCTGTGGTCTAAGGATTCAAAAAGAAAAAGCTGAATTGATGTGAACAGCAACTAAGTGGTTCGAGATTTTCACTGTTAGTTGAAAGAACCCCTAAATCTAACTAGAATTTCAATGAAATTTCAAACCATCATGAGATAACTGTAAAATCGTACCTGTACATTTGTGATCGTGAAGGAACCGGTTAAAGATAGAGTGGAATAAAATGATGTGACTAGTCTATCTACACGAAAAAGTTCAGGAAAAACTCCTGATTCAGAACCAAAACGATGCTGAGGTATTTGCAAAACTCCGGGCCGTTGGCGTCTGTGGTGAGGGATTGAACACGTTACCGCCCTTTCCGTGGCTAATGCGTTCGCCACCATCACACCACATGGGTCCTTCGTTTCGCCTGTCCCTCAGCTCCTGATTTAGAACTAGAAATGGAGGATTTCTCGCTATTAGATTAAGAAGATGTATCACTAGATATAATTAATACCTCGTCGGTGTGATCAGAGATGGCTGTGATCACACCTGAAAGCATGAACTGCAAGTCGGTAAAGCAAACCGAAGCCTTGAACATCCACTGGCGGAGGGGTAACGGTAGTTCCAGTTCATTCGTACAGAAGCCTGAACAACTATCAGAATAGAAGCTAAGGGGCGAACGGTAGGCTAACTTGTTATGAACGGTCATGTTTAACCAACACTGTAAACCCCTAAAACAGCCGTTTGAGTTCGTTGGATTTTTTGCCTGTGAATCCAGCCTAGTAAATTATAATCTTACTACGTGAAACAGGATTCGCTGGTGACAAAATTCGAAAGCGAAAGTACGAAAGTTTATTTATTTGATCTGAAGACGACGAGGAGATCGCTATTTATATCTGAAAGCCACTAAGAGTAAACCTTTGTCAAGAATTGACACTATTTTAAAAGAAACTTAGCCGCTAGACGACTAGCCGTCTTCGATTTATGGAAGTAGGCAACTGCGCACTGCGACGCCGAAGCAGAAATTGTGGTGAAACACATCCGGTCAGGAAAAGTGATCCATTCATTTATTCTTATTCACATAGATGGCCCGTCCTCACTGGTTGTGCGAGCCCCAAACATAATGTCCATTTTTTTAGGAGTTTTTCTAGCTCAGCCATTGTGGTTCCCTGGAGTTCCGAGGTCAGCCAGGCCAAAGTCTGCCCAGGTCGTCATCACCACAGACAGTCGCCGCCATTGTGAATCAGAGGGAGATTTGCTACCATACAGCTAGTTCTTCTAGCTGGGTTTCCTGAAGGAAACGCCGGACTCCTCAGTTGGGAAGCCCTGAATGGAGAATGAATCCCCTGGATGTACATTCGAGTACAACACCCACGAAAACCTTCCAGTCACGATGAGGCAGTAAACCATTGAGAGGCACTCATTTATTCGTGCTTGCAAATTTGGTACTAATTTTTGATACCACCAAGTATATTAATAATAATAATAATAATAATAATAGTAATAACAATCACAATATTGCTGAGATATAACTCGTATACAATGCTGAGATATTTGCAAAACTCCAGACCGCAGGTGTATGCGGTAGGGAACGAACGCGCGCTATTGTCCTTACCGGGGAGTAGCGCACTTCACCACGACACCATCCGGGTCCTTCGTCTTGCCTGTCTCTCAGCTAATTCTATCGATCTTTTGCCGTCAGCAATCATCCGTAAAAGGGTTAAGATTGTGACTATAACTAAGCCTCAGCTTAACTGGGTTCAATGCCGATTTGTGCTCCCCAGATCAATCCCGATGACGGGTGAATGCTGACGGCACAGATCAATAGAACTAGCTGAGAGACAGGCGGAACGAAGGGCCCGCATGGTGTGGTGGTGAACGCGTTACTCCCCGGAAAGGACAATAGCGCGTTTGTTCCCCACTGCAGATACCTGCGGTCCGGAGTTTTGCAAATATCTCAGCAATATTGTGGTTGTCTTTCGCTTAATACCCTGCCATAAAAATTATATAAGGCAGAAAATAAAATTAAACATTAATAATAATAATTAATAATAATAATAACGTAATATGATAAAGAATAAGAACAGAGTGTCCAGCGTTTGACTAGTTACTGAAATATGTCCCATGCATTTGATTTCACTACTATGAGATGACTTGAAGAGCCTCCGAATCCTGGAAGAATGGAGGGCCTGCTTAGCCTATGGCGGAAGATCGAACCAAAGACCACATATGTACTGCAGAGCACATCTAACCACTGCCCCATACACGTCCATATAACATGATATAGAAGATAGTAGTATAATATGATATAAAGGAATTCTCTTTTCAAAAGGGAGGTCAACACATTGTGATTTCAACTGCAGCCTTAACTTAACTGGCTTCGATGCCGACATATGTTCTCCAGATCGTTCCCGTTGCCGGATGATTGCTAATGGCACCGTTAGGGTAAAAAGCTGGCCGAGAGAAAAGGAAAGCAACTGCCTCAGGTGGTGAGGTGCTTCTCGGGTTCGAAACCCAACTGAGATCCCTAGCCTTGCTCACATCTCACCATCCTCGTGGTTGTAGAACACTCTTGCTCAGATTTCGTTAATGACCAAACGGTATGTATACAGGAGTTTACGACGCAGTGGAGAAACGTGTTCCTCTACACAAAAGCGATTTAATAATTCGCATAATGAATTCCCAAGATTGGCCCTCAATTAGCCTCAAAACTGATCAATAATTCGCTGAATTCTTGACAAGCAGGTCCATAAAACCCAACACTTCAATTCATTTCGCTTTTTTAGAGCGACTTTCTATGAGCCTTCCAGAGTCTTCCACATGGAGAGCAACCGTTCAGGGCTCACATGGATGGACAGTGACCATATCGGAAGGGGACGAAAAAGGTGAAATCCACCTGTACGTCAGGTTTTGTAGACAAATAAACAGTAAGGTAACAACGTGGTGTGTGTCTATCAAGAAAACAGCGGGCTATTAGCACGACCTTCCAACGATTTACCGCCTCATCGTGGCTGGGAGATGTTCCTGAGCGTCGGGCTGCGATGAACGAAAGGAGGGTTCATATACCAGCAAGGCCTCACAAGCTGCGCACGCGTTTCCATCAGGAAGCCCAGATAAGAGTAAACCAATGCCTGGATCGACCGCCGTCCTGGTATCAAACTAATCGCATGGTGGCAAACCTCCTTCCAATCCACAAAGGCGGCGTGTGCCTGTGGTGGTGAGAATTTGAGGCAGACTTCGGCCAGGCTGACTTCGGGATTCCGGAAAACCACAATGGCTAAACCAGCAGAACTCCGAAAAAATGGAAATTATACTGGGTCCCTACAACCAGTGAAGACGGGCCATCCAATTATCCAGGTATCCAACTAAGTAATAACACGACGAATGTTCTGGTTTCTACAGAACAACAAAACAACAAAACGAGTACGCCTTGCCAGAATGTGGTGGATGACGAAGAATCAGCTCCAGTCAAGAAATGCTGGAGAAGTGTTCGGGATGTCGCGATGGTGGCATGGCTCCTGTTCAGCACTCCGGCGCGCTCCAGTGCTAAGGCACTTCCCACCCCACAACCATCTGTCTGAGCACCTGCCATCGAGTAGTCGTCGGTTTTGTAAACTTTGCCAAAAGTTGTTCAGTGGTTCAACGTAATTTGAATGATTCTAATCGATCCATTTATCACAACCAGTTCGATGCATACTTGTCATTCTGATGCATAACGTCAGTTTTACTGGTAATCTTGGCAGTATTTTCATACCAGGTTCTCCCTTAACGAGGTTCGTTTGACGCCTCGTCTTGGTATGGCACAGTTCTGTGCGAATAACAGGGACGTTATTTGCTACTTGGTTGTCAAACATTCATGGAAAGGAAAGTGAGTACTAAGATTCTGTCACTTCTCCAGAGACCTTGTTTCTTTATAGAGTTATTTTTTGGCGTTCGACTGTGCTTTACTGTTTGTCCTTCCATTCTGTTTAAGTTCTGTTATCGTTAATCCGAATTAATTTCTCCTGTTGTCATTAGAATGGAAAAGTAGAGGGGCCCGAGTAGCACATTGGTGCGAAGCGCCCTGCAAAACACATGGGATCGATTCCGCTCCCCGGGCTTACTAAGCCTTACATCCCTCCAGGTGGGCAAATTGGTACCGGGCTTATCTGGGTGGATAGCAGCACAGGCTGGATACGTCGGTAGGCCACCGCGAATCATTTTAAAGCCCATATATGCATTCGATCAGCTCAAACGATGCTACAAATGGAGTCGAATTCATGACGCATCTCTCAGGGATTGATCAACGCCTAAAGCTTTCTTCTTTTTTACAGTCATGCATCGGTGATATTTGTTCTAGGTATAAACGCATTTTCTCCATTGGAACGTTAGCGATAACGACGTATAATCCTCAAACGCTAGAGATCACTAATCAGGTGCGTTTCCTACCTTCTTCCATCTTAGTGTGAACTATTGTTAGTAGCGTGCCTTAGGCTTACAGTGTTCCTTAGGCTCTTTAGTGTTTCTCATCTGACTGTTATTTTAGTGGCAATATGAGGATTTTATCGCTGTGAAACCTTCTCCTAAGAATGCGCAAAGTGACAGCAAACAAGACGAATTTGTCATTCATGTCCGGCATAAAGGGAAACGGGTTTGCCCCTTTTTTTCTTGTATCTCTTATTGCTTCTTTATGAATGGAACTGTTTGTATCACTGAAGAAGATTTGTTGTTCTCATCACAGTGGTTTGAAGGACACAATGCGGTTTTCGTCAGACTACACATCCAACATTGTCACTGATTGCCTCCTGTTCAATAGCAAATTCGGTGATCGAAATGCTGAACCTAATGTGAGTCTTTCTTAGTTTCATGGGCTCTGGTTTCCGCTTCCGACACCTTTCTAGTAATTTAGTTAGTTTATTTCTAGTTATAACCACAATGATGCTGAGATATTTGCAAAACTCCGGACTGCTAGCGTCTTCGGTGGAGATCGAACACGCTATTATTTTTTCCAGGGGCTAAAATGTTCACCACAACACCATGCGAGTTCCTAGTTTCTACTAAAAAGTTATTGGAACCACTCTCTGCTATAATCGCTTTTAATTTTACATTTTCTCCTTACGCATATTTCTTGACCTAAAATACCGCCAAGAAATAACAGGGTTCTTGAGAATTTTTGGCTTATATTTACTTTTGACTTTCATAGTTAAGTTTTAAAATTTAGACAAGCTGCTTTAGCTGAAAGAAAGGCGAAGCGGAGGGCCGGCATGGTGTGGTGGTGCACGCGTTGGCCCATGGAAGAGGTAATAGCGTGTTTGGTTCCCCACGATAGACACCTGCCGTCCGGAATTTCGCAAATATTTCAGCGTCATTGTGGTTAAACTGCTTTACTTATTTTTTGAATCTGTAGCTGTTCGAATCAATACTGTTGCGTTCTTGAGGCTGTTAACGTCTATAAACACAGTTGGACGGGTCGTAGAGTTCCAGTGGTTCTTCGCGTTAATGCTGCGGCCATCGAGCAAGTAGATAATCGTGGAGTTGTTGTTCAGGTGTATCCTTATTGTAGGATACGGAGAATTGTGAAGGTTCGTTTTTCTTACTTATTATCTTAGGTTCTCAACAAAAAAGTGTTAAGGCTTCGGTTGTTGTAACACATTTCTTGGTAAAACATTTAACTGTGTTGATATCCAAGCTGATTTTCTTTCCTTGTCAACTAATGTTCAGGTATCCGATTGTCAAGGCGGTTTCATCATTGATGTTGGTGATCATCATCGGCGGGTAATTACTACGTTTTTATTTTTTACCAATTTACAAAAGACATATTTCGTCTCCCATCCTGGCTAACCAACTCCCTTTCCTACCATTATCGGGAAATTGGTGCTGGACTTCTCTGAGATCATCTGACCTTTTGCAGTTCGAAAATAGCTGGAAACTGTCTGGAAAAAGACCTAGTAGTGCTTCATAACGGCTATCCCAAGATTACAGACAGAGTCAAATTGGTTGACATTCGACAATGTCCATGAATAAAGACAAGTAATCCGAACGGAACCTGAAGCTACACAGAAATTCTAAAGACCTTCGTGAATAGGGAATTAGAGGGAAGGAATTGAATGCAGGAAGAGGTGGCATGCACACAACACATGGTGTGGGGTTGTGTAAAATGGAAAATTTAAATTTGCTTGTTTGTCTTTCTAACAGTTTCCTTTTATAAAGCATTTGTTCGAGTCAACGAAATGTGATGACTTCATAAAAGAAGTCCGTCGGTCTGCAGCCGATAACGTAGGCGTCATTGTTCCCGTAACAAAAGAAGTCGCAACACTTAATGAGTTCGCACTTACGAGGCTTGGCCTTTGCAGGTTCGGTTTAGTTCACGTTCCTGGATGCTACTATAACTCGTTACCTATTTCGTGTTACTCCTCTTTATTTTACATATAAAACTTGCTTGTGAAGCAAAGCCTTACAGTCATGATGACCAAATTACATCGTATGCGGAATTCAAAGTGCAGAAATTTGGTAAGCGTCATGAGAAGTCAGTTCGTCGCCTGCTGTGTCTGACTGAGACCTGTCTCGTGGAACGTGACCCAGCAACATATTCAGTAGTCTGTGCTACTCCACTCGAACAGGTAAGGTATATTCAGTGTTGTTTTGCCGTTCTACTTCGCTCTAAATATTGCGGCGAGGTATTTGTTTTTTGTTCCCACAAAGTGCTGATATGAGACATTTTTTGAACGATGCTCTCTATTTTCTCCTTTTATTTACGGATACTGAATTCGCATCGTTCTCAGCCTATATATATTGAGCAATCAGTTTACACTGTGGTGCTTAGAAACAGTGTTCTATATGTTTAGGTCGTTTGCTTAGTTCGTTTGGAAAAAGATCCACAGCAGTTTATTGTTGAATATACGAGTGGTGAAGGTCGCGTCTATTCTGCCGCTGAAAGGTGTGTTTGTCTAAGTTTAGATATTAATGACGAATTAGAACATGTTATTTCAGGGATTTGATTATCGCATCGTTGATCGACGGCACTCGTGCTGCTGGGAATCAGATGGTAATTCTCATCTCTTTATTTTGCTTGCAAGTCAAGCTTGGTCGACAATAAGTAGTTGTCACACTTCATATTTTCTTCTATTTGTCTACTATTGTACGTTGAAGCGTCATAAATGCAGTAGTTTAAGTAGCTTTAAGAATTAGATAGGTCGTTTATAATCTTTTAGCGTTGTAACCTTGCCTCCCAACGGTTTACCAGCTCATTGTGGCCGGGACACGTTCCTGAGTGTCGGGCTACGATGTATAGCGGGAGAGTACATCCCCTGACAGGGTCTCCCTAGCTGAGAAGGAGTCCGAGGTTCGCATAAGGAAGCCCAGCTAAATGTAAACCAATACTAATGCCAGCATCCATCACCGTCCTGGTGTCAAAGTATCCGCATGGTGGCAAATCTCCCTCTGCTCCACAAGGGCGGCGACGGCCTATGGTGATGACCTGAGACAAACTTTGGCCAGGTTTCATCGGGCATCCTTTAACCCACAACGCCCCCTTTGGACACTATAGTGTCCATAGCGAACTGAACCAAATGAACATATAGACTCTATGGTGTTCATATTGAGTTTAGTAGGTTCCAGTTTTTTCTTCACCGCGTTGTGTATACTCATTCCATAGCTAGTCGAAAACAGATCAGAGTAGTAGGGTTGAAATTAGAAAGATTATTCTCTACGCTTAACAGTTTATAAAAGCCCTCTCTTTGAAAAAGTTCATTGACCGATAATTTGACTAGCAGTTGACTGTTTTATCTTGTTAATCCCGTATGGAATGTGTTGATATTTAGCAAACCACGAAGTGGACCCAGCACTCGCTACGAAATGTTTCGAAGTGCTGACGGCAATTGATTTGGAGAATGGACCATAATAACACAGTAGATACTTACTTGGATACTTGGATGGCCCGTCTTTACTGGTTATGCGAGCCTTACCATAATTTTCACTTTTTCGGAGTTCTGCTGGTTTAGCCATTGTGGTTCCCTGGAGTTCTGAGGTCAGCCTTGCCAAAGTCTGCCTTAGGTCATCACCACCACATGTAGTCGCCGCGCTTGTTGATCAGAAGGAGATTTTCCACCATGCAACTAGCTTGAGGTCAGGGCGGTGGTGGATCCTGGTATTGGTTTACTTTTACTTGGGCTTCCTGGTGGAAACGCCGGAATCGTTCTAAGCTTGGGTGGCGCTGTTGGGAAATGAATCCTGCAGTACATCGCTCCCCGATACCCAGGCACACCTACCAACGATGACGAGGTGATAAATCGTTGCGAGGAACACAATAAATAGTTCCCAGGATCGACTTTCTCTTAACCTCGGCATTGGAATATGAATGTGTCGTTTTCTTGCTCAGCAATCGCGAG